CTCGCAATAAAAGGGCTGTAGTTCCCACGAGGGCCGATGGGGATTAGTAACTTTACATACATCATTAAATTGATTACGATGTTTTCCTTCACCGAAAATCTCACGGTAAATTTCAAATTAAATTTCACATCTAAATTCCGCAACGGTTTTCGGCTTTTGAAGCGTAAAGTCAAACCATTAAACGTGAAACACATAGACAGCGGGTGCGGGTCGGGCGTATGTCGGGTCGGGAGCACGGCGGGTCTAATTTCGTGTATTTATATAGACGACAACCAAGCACGAGCGCGTGCGTCCGTCTCGCACCCACGCTTTCTGTGTGTATCACGCTTAAGGCTACCATCGATGTTCTGTAACTATATGTAGGTACTGAATGCAATTAATTTAAAATAATTTAATGACAATTACCCGTCCTCTTGTCCTCTGTATACTCTCCCTTTGCGCACTCAAGTCCTGCAGCACAGCCGCACCAATCTGTTCCGTTTCGAGAACAACTCTGTATCCCTCTGTGAGGGTCTTGCCGGTTCGCTCTAGACGTTCCGAGTTGTCCAGCAGCGTGCGTTGCTGCTCATTCGCACCCCAGTCGTCATAAACATCTTCTGTGTCTATGTTATCTGTAAATACGAAGTACTCCTGTCAATTATGTTTTTTAGTAATTTTCAGTAGCAGTGGAGCTCCTTGTGAAAGAGTTCCTCCAGGGAAGTACTGCCACCTTAACTATTTCTGCCGCTAAGCAGTAATGTCAACATTACTGCGTTCCGATTTTGAAGGGTAAGGGGTGCCGGTGAAATTACGGAACTTTTCAACTTATGTTGTGATGGGCGCAGTGGCAGTGCACCCCAGATCTTTGCGGTTTAAAGCTCTGAGTGGCACTGCAACCGTTATGGACAACAGTGTTGGGCGTTAATCAATTAAATTTCAATCAGATTAAAAAATCAATTCAATTGAAATGAATTGCAATTGATTTCAATTGAATTGATTTTAATTCATATTCACACACTGATTTTGGGTCACAATCCCCTGACCGACCCCCAACCGGCTCCCAAACCGGGCCCCCACCCGGCCCCTCAACCGGCCCCCACCCGTCCCCCAACCGGCCTACCAACTAAACTAAAAACCTAACCCACCCCTAACCACCCTAACCCACCTCCTGACCCACCTCCTAAACCACCTACCACCTACCCCCTAAACCACCTAATTTTATTTTGTAAATAATACATTTTTGTCAAAGTAACTTGCGTTAATTACTGCGAGAACTAAAGTTACCAGGACATTTGAAGCACAATGCAGTATCAATCAATTACCTCAGTCCATCAGTCAATATGAGAATGAAAGCACTAGTAACTCACATCCACCAGCACTGTTAAGCACGGAGCGATATTCGTTCCGCACGCGCTGCAACTCAGCTCGGTAGGCCGCTACGCGCGACCCGGCGCCTGCACCTCGTGACTCCAGCTCCAGTTGTTCCAGCTAACACAAAAGCAACATTTGGATCACTTTTGTCATTTATGTGTGTAAGTAGATGTGAAGTTTGCTGAACGTAGATAACGTGAGAGATTTTGCTTTTTATGTTGGACATTCCGTGTTCGGTGTAGATATGAGCGCCGCGTCGGCGTGCTGCCGCCGCCGCCGGAAAATGCAATCGGCGCGCCTTCCAGTTCAGTTCGATCAGGCGCTCCGTATTTACATTTCTAAGCAAACTTAGTGACTTTATATTCGAAGATGTTTTGTTTAAAACATTAATTTGTCAAAATTATTTTTCTAAAACATTACGCATATATTAAGCATACACAACATCGATCAATAGCGATCGGAGCGCCTGAACGAACTGATAAAAGTTTGATTACTGTACAAAATACGTTATTTAATTTTTTTCTTTGAAAAAGTACTTAAATAAATAAATAAATTAAATCTTTATTCATAGCCATTCACATAGTAGGGAACAAACTTACATAATAGTCATTGACTTACAAATAAATGGACGACGGGTCTAATACAAAAACCACGAAAAAAATGTCCCAAGTCAACCTATTCGAAATTTAAATTGTAATGTCATCGCAGTATCGCGCTGTCGGTAGAACTAATGAAGACTAAAGCGGAGTGTCGCGCTCTGTATACGATTTTAGCGCCTTACAAGTGCGGACACTTTTTAGCGCGGACCCGACGTCCATATAATTGTAAGTCAATGATAATAGTGCTTAATTTATTAGTGACTGATTGTTTATTTATAGTTTTTGTAAAAACTAACACTGTTATACAAATTCGTTTCATGGTCGCGCTCGTGCCGTCGAAACGCCGCCGCCGTCGACACTTTTTTGTCGGATCGCCGCATTGACTTACAATTATATGGACGTCGGGTCCGCGCTAAAAAGTGTCCGCACTTGTAAGGCGCTAAAATCGTATACAGAGCGCCAAACTCCGCTTTAGTCTTCATTTGTTCGACTGACAGCGCGATACTGCGATGACATTACAATTTAAATTTCGAATAGGTTGACTTGGGACATTTTTTTCGTGGTTTTTGTATTAGACCCGTCGTCCATTTATTTGTAAGTCAATGGATCGCCGCCGCCAATTGGTCTATTATCGGCGCTCATATCTAATTCAGTGTCCTCTTAGCAAACCATTCAAATCGAATGTAGATTAACTTACAAATGTCGCATTTCAAATGGTACCGTTAAACATTGCAATCAATCTTGCGTGAATTTCTACAGGTTCACAAAAAGTCTTCGATAAACAGTGGAATCCACATTATTGTGGAATCCATATTAAATATAAAACACGAGCGTAATTCGTAGAATATGACCAACAGCCTGCTTCTCCGAGAAGACAGCCACCTAGATTCGTAATGATCATAAATAAGAGAAGTAGTGCATACATTTATAGACAACTTTAAACACCTGATATAGACGCTCTAGTATGTATCAACGTTTAATTATCACAATGATAAAAACCGTCTGTTTATAGCCAACAAGGCTGAGTGTAGGTTTAAATAGTTAAAAAAAATGTTTTTTAAACATTATTATAGCTATTAGTTACATTTATTGTTTTTGTAATAATTTTATAGGAGATAGACAATACATGTCATGTCACTCCTACCATAAAGTGCAGAAAAATAAATTGCTTAAGCTGACTTTAATCTTTTTATCTAGATAGGTGTACCGTAAGCTAAATTATTATGTTAATGTAGATAATACACTATTCATACTTTATTTAATAATATTTGTGATGTGTTTAGTAGAAGTTAGTTCCGGTAACTAAAAGTAAGACTAAATGGTAATAAAATTGTCCACTATAAATGTATATATAGAGAGAGTGTGCGAACGCAATTTTGAAAAAACTTTCTTGGGAGCATGTTTTGGTTTTAATGACTGCTTTAAAATATTTACGTCTTGTTTTAAATTCAATTTTAAAAACCTAAACTTAATTTAAAACAGGATGTATAATATTGTAAAACAGCCGTTAAAACCTAAAACAGGCGCTGAAAAATTTTTTAAAATGATTTTACAAAACACTGACAATATTAAATATTTAAATAAAAATGTACACATAATGACATTGTGATCAAACAGAGAGATTCCTAAAAATTGATCCTTCAAATTCCTGCAACCTGATAAAGGTCATAAATTATATTCATCTGTCTCCACTTTTCACTACTAACAACTTATTTTAATTTTTTTGTTTCTGAACACATTACTAATGTTAAATTTCAGTTACTACTTATATAACTTATGATTTAATAAAAACCAATTCATAATTAACGACATAAGGTTGATATTGTTGCTTGAAATACATAGCAGATGAAGAAAA